GGCCCCGTAGGAGCAAGCTTAGGGTTTTAAAAATACCGGTCTCTTTCAATCGTACGGTAAGTTACCGTAAGTTACGTAAGTTACGCGTATTTATAGGTAATATTGGTAATATTCACCGAAGTTGCCGTTTTTGGAATAATATGCGCTAAAAACTTAAAATGCATGTAATAACCCGTAGTAACATGTCAATTCGGTAGATTAAGTGTGAAACAGTGTGACATACAAAAGGAAAAGTCATAAAATTAATGCTTTGAGTGAAAGATCCAAGAATAGAGATCATCCAAGCTTGTCCCGACATTTTTTAGACCATCCACGTAATTTAATTTTATCCTTAGTTTTGGGGCTTCCCTGGTGTGCCTTTGACATGTCTGGACCCAATCTGACGAAAACTCCAGATTTGGACTTACAACCCATATGCAAAAACAGACGGGGACAAATTTTGATTACATGGTGAAAATAGAAGAGTAGTTTTTAATCTGATTGTCAAGTCAAGAACCATTTAACCCTTTAACCCCACCCCCTTTTTTAGTGAGGAAACCTGCTCACTCTTTTCAAGTGAGGATTTTAAATTATGTCTTAAACAGAGTGGGAAAAATAATCTCGTTCTGAGGACAGGTGAGCGGTATTTGTTGTGCCTCTGATCTCACACGCATATGAGCAAGATATCTGACCCTAGCATTTACAGTGCTTCAATAACCGCCTCAGTGCACAAAAAGTTGTTTTAGACATTAAAACCAGAAAAATGACGAATATTTTGCAGGAAATGACCGAAAAATATGTAGCTCGCGCTTGGCTGATCCTTTTTTCTATTAGAAGGAAATTTGCGAATCTTACCAAAAAATACCAGTGTTTTGTGGCTTGGTAAGTTACCGTAACTTACGGGTATTTTACCGAATCTTACCGGTAATATTACCAGCCTTTAAATCCCTAAGCAAGCTGGTAGCCGAGCGTGTTAAAGCGTGATCGTTGGCAGCTCGTGGGAATGGTCGGTAGTTCGAATCCCGTTCGCGATCATTTTTCCTGCT